TATTCAAGATATATATAGAATGTTTTTACCGATTAAATTTAAGTTAAATAACTTATTTGGATTACTTAATATATTATTGATATTTTAATCGATTTAAAATGTAAAATGGGTTAAGACTATATTATTAGAAAAATTTTGAAACTGGAAACTTAAGTTATAAATTAAGATTCTTACAATATTAGATAAAAACAATATTTTATAAATATTTATAATTTAAATGAGTTATTTGGGTAGAGAAAAAAAATTGTTATTTGAAGTAAGAATTTTTGGATAGTAAATATATGTATAGATATTATTAATAATAAATTCTATGTAATTTAAGTTAATTATTTGTATGTATATTACATTGTATCTATATTATTTGTAGATTATCTTGTACTTCAGAGTTTGTAATTTGTGCTCTTATTTCTCAAGCTGTGAGGTTAAACTTGGAGTAGAGGTAATCGGGGTTAATTTATTTTATATACATGCTTTGGATTGTAAGGTGTTTATGATGTTTTTATTTTCTCAAGTTAATTTGTGAAATTATGCCTATGAATAAAGAGTATATTTTCTTATATGACAAATTTTGGTGAAGTGGGAAGTATGTTGATTTAAGTATGCTTGAGTTGTGCTTTATTATAAATCTTGTTTTCTTGTGGTGCTGAATTTTAATATACTAATATTATGTTATAAAAAAAATGCAAATGTGTCGTATTTTGTTTGGAATTATACCATCTTACTTTGAAAAATTAGAAGATTTTTAATATATATATTATGACTATGCATGGGGTTCATATGTGGAGGTTGAGATTTTGTTATGTGGAGGATAATTGTTCTTGAAGCCCGCGCGGCATGCCTATACTATGGATCCCAGTGTTTGGCTTTTTTGTTAGACCTATGTAGTTCTTCCTTTTCCTTGGCCCAGAATTGAGAACGAACTCTTGGGTAGACACCTCTTGCACCATAGTCCATTCTTGGGCGGTGTAGATATAGGAGGGGGCCCGTTGCTTGATGTGAGTGGGGTGACCTTTGGCCAGGTTACTCAGCACAGAAAGCCCAGGTCCTTGTCAAGGAGTCATAAGGAGGAGCAAAGTGATGGAATGACATATTTCATTGTGTTGTTGCATATATGTACTTTTATATGAATTGTGTTGTGGATGGGGAGATATACAACTTTTATGTGATTGTATCTATTAAAGTATCATTTATTTCTTAAACTATATTTAAGCACTACTTCACTAACTTACCATCCTACTTCTATATGTCATAAATTAATACTTGGTTACTGGGACTTTACGTCTCACCCGGCTATTCCATCAATGCTTTTCAGGGGAGCCATCTAATTTGGCTCGGCGCAAAGGAAAGCAACCAGAGGTATAGGCGAGCATAGCCTAGTAGTCCTCTTCTAGTTTAGGCATGTAATGTTATGTATATTGTCATCTTAGGGCCCATGACTGTGTTGACGTATACTTTCTTTTGTTTGAATGACTGTATTTGATGGAATGCTGTTAAAATGACTGAAGGCCATAAGATTCTGTTGTATGTGATACTCTTATGTGTATGACTTATAGGTTGGGTTAGGCACCCTATGTTTCTTGTGTCATAAGTCTTTGTGAGATGAATATTATGTTGGGCTTGTGGGTGGTTACTATGCCCTGAGGCTTTGTTCTAGATGTTGTTAAATCCATAGGTGTTTTATGTATCCTGAGCCACTTAGGATGTTTTTGAAATAAGTCAAACTCTTTATAGTCATGGTAGTATTTTAACACTCTAACTCAATTCTTGTTCTACCATGATTATCATTTTAAAAATAATTTTATAATTATGTATTAAGAAGAGGTCTTTTCATTATGTTCACGCGAGCTACTGGTAACCTCAGCACAAATAATACATAGACACATATTTTAAGCTAACAGGTCAGCAGCATGTAGTTAAATTTTAAGAAAAATGACAAAAAAAATTACCAAAATAAAAAAATTACACACAAAAACCGATTTATAAAAATTATTGTGATGAGTCATTATTTACAATTTTTTTATTCAGCAGTTTTTTTTTACCATTTTTTCTAAATTTTAATTCGTCCCATGGTAAGAAATTAGTCACTTTCGCCTGAACCAAGCCTTGCCCGGCTCTTCTCGAGGTTCACAAATATTAAATCATTTTCCAGCGGGGCGAATATATTTTGCTTAGGAGCACGTGCATGGATGTGCTGTCGAATATTCTGGAGATAAGGCCCAAAGAATATAATTAATAATAATACAAGAAACTTATAAGCACATGCACATTTCATTTGTTTTTTTGGGGGTTAACAAACACACATTTCATGTTATTTGTCCACACTCTGGTACGTCTTTAATGGGCCAAGTATAAAAGTCAAGACCATGATCTGTATTCCTACTCAAGGGACTTCCTCCATTACCATTTTCTCCTCCTTTGGGGAAAAAAAATGCTCAAATTAAACCAAAATTCTTAACTAGTCGGCAACTTTTAGGGGGTGTTTGAATAGAAACCAAACCATGATTTTAGAAGTGTTTTTACGGATTACGAAGTAAATATGTGGAGGAGGTTACCTCGTTTTGCGGAAAAGTGCTTCTGAAACCGCGGTTTTGAGAATGTCAAACACCTCCTTAGTATCCTTGATTAAGGGGTATTTGGATTTGTTTAAAAGTATTTTTTTGTAAATTGAGACATATTTCTTCACATGTTTATTTTATATACTGTAAAATTATTTTTAAAATCATAACTTTATTTCTATCCAAACACCCCAAGTGTCAAAATCTAATTCTAAACCAATTAAATTGAGGATTATGAACAACGGATAATATTTGCATCCTTGCCTTATTTTACAAGTAGGGAAAATCATATATAGATTCGAAATTAAAAAAACAAATACTTATCACCTGATAACTTTTTAAAAATTCAATTTTGATGGTAGGTACTTAGTACCAAAAAGATCACTCTAGACCCAATATTCTTTGGTTCAAATTTGAATTTCAGTCCGCTCCGATTCACAATTTGCCACTTCCTAATATGACAGGCTTTTATTACGTAATTTTGAAAATTTATAACTTATTTGTTACATATCCAGAAATTATAAACTATGAAATTAAATTATTACTTTATTATTGTTGTTATTATTATTATTTGCAGCCATGGGAAAAAATTATAGACACGTCTTTAGCAAAGAGTTACACCGGGACCAGCCTGCATGGTACAGAGTAGTTTTCAAGATCTGCGTGACACGAATGAATGTCCTTTTTTTTTTTTTTGGGACCAGACACTGATGAATGTCTTGGCAAACACAAACAAGAAGACAAGTCAAAGATGATTGTAAGAAGGCCACGAAAATAAATAAAGACAAGTGAGTAAATAAATAAAGCTCATAATTGGAGAAAGGTTGAAAACTTGGATCAAATCACATTATACCCCACTCGTCAATTGTCACGTAGTGCAACGAACTCGCTTTTACCAAAGAAAACAACAGACACATTTTTTTCTCGGCAAATCATTGCAAAGGACTTGATTTATAAATTAATTATTAAAAAGTTCCTCAGATTTATAATAAAAAATTAGTGTAAAGTTTCCGCTTAAAAATTTTATTACTAAAAAAGGATTGAATTTGAGTACTAATACTTTCCGTACATGAAATCCCACAAAGTCAAAGTATTGATAAATTATGTGCAAAAAAACATATAAAGTCCCTCTAACCAATAAAATTTGTAAATATAAATTTTCCTTTGATTTTTCTAATTTATAACTTGCAAGTATGTATTATTTACGTAATACAAGTTTACAACTAAAAAGATATTTGATGTAAACCAAAAAAAAAAGATATTTGATGTCATTTATCACTCAAATAATATAAATATATAAATAAAATAATAAATGTTTATTATTTTTGATAGAGCAAACGCAACGCATGTTTGGACCGAAGGAGAAAAGAAGTGGACAAGGGCAAACAATAAACAATAGATGAGACAAGACAAGGGACGGGCTGGATTGAGGAATGATGGAGATGGATTTACACACGTCACACGTGTCAGATTTAGCTCAGATAGAGCTAGCAAGGGCATTTCTGTAACATGAATATAAATTCTTGTGGGCCAAAAAAAAAACTCCAGTCATTCATAAAAGTCCTAATTAACTAATTAGAGGAAATTAAAAAAATTAATTAAATTATTTATAATAAATTTATTTTGTCTTTCTTAAAATATTTTTATTAATAATGTGTGTTTAAATCATTCAATCATAGTAACTTTTTAACGAATACAATTATTATAAGAATTATTTGAGGATAAAATAGATAAATATTAGAGACAAAGTAAATTATATTCTTATATTTATATTTAGATGAAACTAATTACCATATTAGATTTTAATTATAAAATATAAATAAGATTTTATAATTAAGAGGCTGTTAGAATTATATTAAACTACGCATATATAAATTCTAAACTCCTTCAGTCGAAATCCTGCACTTGCACGTCTCTCTCTTTCTGCAACCAACTAGCCACGGCGAATGGAATCTAGTGCGTCATCTTTGAGACCCCCGATCTGGACGTACTCTAATAATTCGCTTTGGTATTAGATTACGTGAAAAAGTTACACCAACAGCTAGTAGAAGATGCTTTTTCAAACAGGGCATCTCGACAATAAATTTTTTTTTTTAACCAAGCATTTTTTTATATTCATATTACGGGCTCCCCTGTCTCTTTCAAAGATTGTTTCATTTTTTATGGCCTAAAAATTTTCTTGGTATAATTTTAAATAATCATTATCTTTTATGAAGTAATTTTTAATTTTTTTTGTTTTAAAGTATATATAATTCAAACAAAATATTTAGCCGATAAATTCAAATTATTTAATATTAAAAAAAAAAAGGAGCAGTCCAATTCTTTTACTGTTGGACTGTTGGTACTTCATGATAGAAGATCAGGTCGCGAAATCCGGCGTTTAATCTTGCGCCTTCGCTCCATATTATAAAAGGCGCAATATTTATGTATTTCCGCCTCTGTTTCTCTGCGTGTAGCCTCAGTGGCTCCAAGAGCACAACCGAGCGAGATCGGATCAACTTATGTTTATACCGCCTGAGCTAAATTTGGAATTGCAGGCCACTCGTCTAACGCGTCTTTCTTCTGTGCAATCTCTCTCGCTATCGTCCGAGTAATTAACATTCGATCCTTTTCGTGCTTTTTTCACTGTGCACTGGTGTTCTCACCGGATCGCTTGTTTAGTGCTAGTTTTGTTTTGCTTTGTGTTTCAAATTTGTCTTATGAGCATTGCATGGTGAGAACGATCTTTTAAGGACTAAGGTATTTAGAGTTTTTGATGCCACGTGCTTTGGATTTTTCTTCGCCGTCTTCACCAAAATAGGACTTGGTTTTGCACCAGTGGTTTGTTTATGTAATAATACCCGATCTTTGTCTGGCAGCTAGATTTCATTGTCTAACGAGGTAGATTGTTAATTATTTCATTCGCATGATTGATATGGAGATTTTGGTGCTTAGACTCCTTTGTCTTAAGCATTTTAGTTCAAATGCTCAGTGAGTTAGTATAAAATGATGTATGATTGATAATTGATAAAATGGCGATCCTGTCATTTTTATCCGCAATGCATGCAAATGTTTCTAATTACTTATCCCGATCAACATTCATTTTATTCTTCTTCTTTATGCATGTTCTAGCATTATTGTACTTGCTTGACTAGCTTTTGGATCAATTTATTGAATTTTACCTGTTTCTGAATCTTACACACTCATACGTTGGGTCTTCCTTTGGAATTAGGTTTCTTGGGTATTTTGAAGCTGTCTTCTTGTTTGTGCCATGGCTGTTGAGGTTGACGGGTTTGAGATGGTTCAAGGCCCGGAAAAAGGTGCTGAAGGAGACAAAGCTGTTTTGCCTGGAAAAGTAAATGGACATTCGGAAAAGGATACTGTAGTAGCTGAATCCTTAAAATTTGGGTCACATGAAGACGAACCTACCAAAGAAGGGAATAAAATTTCAGATTCCATTGCACGCAAAGATGCAGTTGAAGATTGGCCAGCTCCTAAGCAGATACATTCTTTTTATTTGGTTAAGTTCCGGCCTTATGATGATCCTAACATAAAGTCTAGACTTGATCAGCTCGATAAAGAGATTAGCAAGAAAAATCAAACCCGGTTTCAGCTCACTGAAGCTTTGAAGGCAAAGCGGGTGAGTTGAGAATTTGTTGGGATTACTATGTAAATTTTGTTGTGTGCTCCCCCTGGGGGGGGGGGTGTTTGGGCAGGCTTTTCACTAGCGAATATTCAGTCCCTTTCCCCATTATATTCACCTCTATTGAGCATTGCCTTTGCATCAGGTAAGGCATACATTTATCATCCACTGGTCATAATGGCATCGTATACAGAGGATCTAATTTTTATAATTATTGCAGCACTTGGCCGCTTGCACTTTAAGTTAAAAAAATCAAATTTCTAGTTGTCTCTTCACCATTTTATCGTTCCTTATCATCACAAGGTCAAATATTACTATCCTGACGCTAAATTCATATTTGTTTTGTTGGTGCGACACATGTGCATTTAGGTCACGAACTTTCTCTTTCTTGTCATATTAATAAACGTACTTGTGAATGATAAAAGGGATATTTATGATAAATCACTTCGACAGCTTACGTTGAGAAACTCTGGCCAAGATGCATGTAATGTTAGGATTTGTTCTCAGGCCTGCTTGGTGATGGATGTTAGTATCATCACAAAAGTAGACATGACAAGACTTGAAACAATGTTGAGTGAAGTCTCATGAAAAAATTATCTTAAAATTCATCTTCCATTATCTCAAATAGCAGAGCTTTCATATCAATTAATGATGGGCTGTTGTTTCCTGGGAAGTTTTATATTCATGCAATGAAATGGCATGCTAAACTCCATTAATTTAACCTGTGTGGATATTGTCTTTACCGCAGTCAGAACGAGCGGAATTAATTTCTCAGATTAAGGCCCAGAGAGATAACGATAGGCAATGCCAGAGTATATTGGATGACAAAAGAAAAGCAATTGAACCTCTGCAGCAGGCACTGGGCAAGTTGCGTACACCAAACAATGCTGGTCGGGGTGGTTTATGCTCATCTGAGGAGGAACTGAATGATATTGTAGGTTATGTTTATCAAGTTCTCTTAAATGCTAAATTTGGCCCTTTGTTGTTATTGCAATTATTCATTGACATCTATCTCCTTTTCACCTTTACTTCCATTTTTATTGGTGAATGCAGATCTATGGATTGCAGTACCGGATACAACATGAGAGCATTCCGTTGTCTGAGGAAAAACTACTCCTTCGTGAAATCAAGCAGCTTGAGGGAACAAGGGAGAAAGTTATAGCTAATGCTGCCATGAGGGCTAAATTACAGGATTCACTTGGGCAGAAAGAAGCCATTCAAGATCAGGTTAAGGTAAAGCAGCTTTATTTTCATTTGATTACAAGCTTTATATTTTGTTATAGCGATGCCTCTTCATTCTTCATGTGCTGGAGATTTGATGGGCATTTGAGTGAAGCGGGGAACCCTCGTTTAGGTGAGAGAACCTACCTATTCAAATACTCCACAGAGTATCCCATACTGCTCAATCTTGGAATTTAGTCATTCTATACAACCTTAATCTCCATCAATTGGCCCCCCTTAGAAAGCTAATGTCTCAGCAGTTATACTTGATGACACTTCGTTTTGTCCCTTGCCTGCCACAACCCTCTGTGATGTAGCCTTTTCTGGACCTGGGCATTTAAGTGAGGTGGGAAACCCTTCCTTAAAAAGTAGCTATTGAGATGGGAGAACTGGCTTATCTAAATACCTCATAGAGCATCTCATGCTACTTAATGTGTGGCTTAGACATCTTCTACTGCCTTAACTTCCGTCATAAACCTTTACAAAAGAAAAAGTTTTTTATGTATTCTTTGTTATTGCAGGTTATAGGTGGGGATTTGGATGGAGTAAAGAAGGAGAGAGAGATAGTTCGGTCCAAAATCAAGCAACTTGATGATTCTCTGAAAGTCTTAGACAAGGATATTCAGTCTTTACAGGATGAACTAACAGATGTCATTCAGAAGAAGGATAAAGATTATGAGAGCATTCAGCAGCTGAGAAAACAACGTGACGAAGGGGTGTGTCCACTTTCTTTTTGATACCATACATATGTTGATGTTTGTTTAAACATTGTTTTCCTCGCATGTATTATTAAGTAGTTGTGTGACATGGGATGTCCTGTGCAATTAAATTGCAATGTTTATTCGGAATCAGAATGACAAATCCTATCTTTTTAATGAAATCATATCCCACATTAAGTCAAGTGAGACATTTAATTGGAGTAGGATGGATGGTTTTGACTCTCTCTCTCTAATTTTCAAAAATCTAAAATGGGATGAATGGTTGTGATTCACTTGATATCAAATGTAAGTCATGTCCACTCCATTTTCATTTCATCCTTTTTAACTCAACTCATATTTCACTACTGCTGTTATCATTCATGCCAAGCACACCCTTAATCTTTTTAGTTATGATAAAATAAGTGGCTTTTGATTTATAGATGTCATTGTAGCTGGAGCCTTGAAGACTGAAGTTTTACTAGATAATCAATGTTTAATTAGTCGCTTATGGACTCATAAGTGTTAGGCTTACGGGAGAAGGATGAAGAGAGAATAACTCAAGGGTCACAGGGGGGCCCAATTCTGGGTTACCTGCTGATGAAGTGGAAGGAAAAAGGGGAAAATGTATTGTAACTGACCATGCACATGAGGAGTGATGTGGAGGTGGGAGAGTAGGTCACCAGAGGAAAATAATTAGGAAGGATGTGGGTCAGAGAAGGGCAAGGAAGAATTTGGCTGGGAAAAGTGAGGTGTCATTTACCTTGAGTGCTAGAGTTCTTTGCTTTGTTGTTTTATTTATTTCCCCGAGTTTATAGTTCTTTGCTTTGTTCTTTTATTTATTTCCCGAGTTTTCTTTCTTTTATGGTTTCCATCTCTAGTCATCTGAGACTGTCAATTTCCATTGATTCGCTGTTTGAAGAGGATTACAGCTCTATATACATAAATAATGCCAGAAATACTTCTGGTTGCATCATATACCAAACCAGGAAAGAAGAAAATGACGAGTGAATTTTACATGCTTGATGTACCACTTAAGTCCTTATTTCTGAGCTCAATCTTTTGTGAGTTTTATGTAGTCCTGCAGAATAAATTATTTATTGAACTAATTTTACCATGTTGTTCAGAATACTTACTTCCACCAAAGCCGTGCCATTTTGAATAAAGCGAGGGAGCTTGCTGCAAAGAAAGATATTAAAGCTCTTGAGGAACTTTCACAAGCAGAGGTTCTACTAAATGCTACTCATTCTTAGGGGCACCATAAGATATCAATAGCTGCTTTGCTTTCTATTTGCCTAATTGTGTTCTCCTGCTTTTCTATATGGTGTTAGGATGTGGTTAATTTTATTTATTTTTTGGCTCTAGGTTGAGAAATTTATGTCACTCTGGAACAGTGACGAGACTTTTAGGAATGATTATGAGAGAAGAATTTTGCCTTCATTAGATATTCGACAATTGAGTAGGGATGGACGGATTAGGAATCCAGATGAAAAGCCACTGTTGGAAGAGTCAAAACCGTCTGAAACTGATGCAGTGCCAAAGATCAGCAAAAATCAGCTAAAGGAAGAGCCCAAGTCTTCCCCGAAAGATAGTTTGCCAGCTCAGAAGGTCCAGAATGAAGCCAAAAACAAAGAGAGAGATTTGAAATCTAAGCTGGAAAATAAAGAATCAGCAGAAGCTGATAAATTGAAATTTGAAAAGCCACTAAAGGAGAGTGTTGTCAAAGAGCCTGAAATTGATCCAGCAAAGTTGAAGGAGATCAAGAGAGAAGAGCAAATTGCAAAAATGAAGCAGGCCTTGGAAAGGAAAATGAAGTTAGCAAAGAAAGCTACAGCCAAGGCAGCTGTCCGAGCACAGAAGGAAGCTGAGAAGAAGCTTAAAGTAATTCTTTCTTTCCATCTTTCTTTGACACGTTTTATTTTTGGTTCTGTAATCTAAACGTGGTTCCTTGAGTTCTTTTAGGAGCAGGAAAAGAAAGCAAAGAAGGCGGCTTCTGCCTCTGCTCCCATTCCCAATCCTCAGGAACCGGCAGATGTTGCAGTGGAGGCTACAGAACCAGAAAAGTTAGATGAAAATGATGATGGCCCGGTTGTAGTGAAGGAAAAGGTCCAGAAAGAGAGTAGTATCAGGTCCAGGGATCGAACAAAGGGCCGTGGCTCGTTTCCTAAAGTTATTTTGAAGAAAAAAAGGTCTAAAAATAACCGGGTGTGGGTTGCATCTGCTGCTTTGTTACTGTTGCTCTTGGTGGTGCTCGGGTATTACTATCTTTACTGGTAAAGTTTGAGTGTAGAAAGAATTGTAAACCAATTTTTCAGGGCTAGTTTGTGAGGTTAGCCAAGTTATTTCTGTTCTCTACACATTTCCTGGGGTAAGGGATCAAACATGCCAGAGCTGGGTTTGCGGTCAAGCTGCTTTTGTTCGGGAACTCGTTCACGTGTTAGTCTGACTTGGTGATTTTTCAATTTTTTTCCTCCAGATTTTGAGATGTTGCGGGAAGCTTGCATTTTTCTGTTAGTTAGTATTCGTAGGAACTATAATATATACACACACTGTACATTTTACTTTCATTAATATCAGTAAACCAGGCTAGCATCTGGATTGTCAAGTTATACATCTATGTGTGATGCTCAATAATTTAATGTGTCAAACGACTTGCTTCTGAAATTTGTTGCAAAATCGAGCCCTTTCACTTTATGGGGGCCTAAATGCTAAATGTTTTTTTTTTGGGTTACATAAATGCTAAATTTAATAGACCTTGTGAGTAGTTTTCGGGTAGTATTTTTGGTTGTGTGGTCCCTTTTGGCATCATGAACTACAGAATAGTCATGCACAGACAATTATGATCATGTACTTATCAAATGCTTTTGTTTGGTTAGTATAGGAACCGAAACAAAAGTATATAAAAATTAACATCTTTTACCTAAAAATAATTGTTATTTATTTATATGATTTTATATAATTATCTGAGATATGATATTATTGTATTTGTATTGGCTTTGAGCTTTATTTATCTGATCGAGGGAATCTCTCTTAATATAATTTTTTTCCCCAATCTTCAAAGTTTGAATCTTTAACACTAACGGAAAAGAACTTAATGTTTGAATCGCCTACATTATTTTATTTAATATTGAAGAAGTTGTACTACTTTTATAAATCTAAATTTCATAAAAGAAATTCAAATTTTTTCGTCGGCCTATTACGACATCGTTTTCGGCTTTTGGCCCATTCGTGAAAAATTTCCCGGATTTCAAAACTGCCAAATATTTTTTTGGGCACCGAAAACGGCCAATTTTGAACTTCCGGTGCGGTCGTGTTGAGGAAGCGCGCCCCCGCCATGGCCGCCGCTAGCTTTGTAACGCCCCGGTGTTTGAGCAGAGCAGCTCAGGCTTTTGCATTCTCTACTTTTCCTCGTTGCGACGCTAAACTCTCTTTTCGGCGGACCATTTCCTCTGACCCGTTCGCTGCTTCCTGTCCTTCAGGTCTGGACTTATCCGTAAAATTTTTCCTTTCTCCTTCGTTTTTCTGACAGGTGTTCTATGTAATTTGATAAAGAGGGTCTCGTTGGTGTTTAGATGTTTCGTCAGATTCCTGGGATAAACTTTGATAAGTTGAAATTTTCTTGTAATAATGTTTGTGATGCGGAAAGAAGTCTTCCTTATTGGCAGCTGATATGGCTGAAATTGACAGTTGGACACACACCCATAAAGTCATAATCATACTGCTTGGCGCTCCCATTAGGCTTTAGTATGAGGGTATGTGAAAAACCTTGTCATAATAGAGGCCCTTGCTAGTTATTAACGAAAACATCTAGGAAGCAATAGAGGACCTTGTCAGCAATGACGTACATGCCAGATATATTCTGCATTCGGGTAATAATCATGGTTAAATAATACTCCTCCGGTCCTAATTATAAGACCCAATTGACTTATTTGAGGAGATTAAGGAAGTAAGTTAAGTTGGTTATTTATAATAAATAAGTGTTATTATTCTTAAAATATCCTTGCTAATTAAATATATTGGCTAAAACTATCATTATTAGAAGGATTATCTTGGAAAAAATGCATAAATATAAGAGACAAAATGGATTTGGGTCTTATAATTAGGACCAAATAAAAAGTCAAATGGGGTCTTATAATAAGGACCGGAGGAGTAATATATAACGATATATTTTATATTTCTCTTGCTTCCCTGAACAACCAGCCACTTACAAGTATTATCCTTTGATCATCTGGCTGAAAGATGCTTAATAGGTGATAGCACGGCAAAGGTTTATGCGCGATATTTTCTTCAGAGCTTTTGAACAATTGTTCATTGTTATATGCATTAGTTGTATGATAGATTTCTTATTTTCATCTCAATTATGACATGCTATTCACATTTTCAACGCTTTATGACTTGCAGCTTCAGGTGTAAGCCAGACCGTACAAGCTTTGAAGGGACAGGAAGGTGATGTGCTACTCAGGGGAGTAAAAGAGAGAAGTACGATAAAAGAAGTGAAGCATATTCTTGAGATGGTACTATGCAGCCTTTCTCTTCAATCTAGATTACCTCAAGCATCTCTTAAGAAGCCTTGGAAGTTGAAACTCTTTCCGTGTCATTCTAGATATATCGCCGTTGTGTTTGTAAATTGACTGATTCATTGAGTTATCTGTACTGAATTGGAAGTTTGGAAAGGGAGGGGAGTTCATTAAGTTTTGAAATTCAAGGGAGTTATCTGTGTTTTGGCGTTACTGTTTAATTCCTTACCCGGTTGTCAGCTGTCATCCATTTTATTATAGGCTCAAAGCGCATCATCTAGACGAGAAGTTCTTCATACAAATTTTCTTACTCCTCCAGTGCTGAAGGAATCTATGGAAGTAATGGGAAAATTAGCTGGTGTGAAAGCAATTGCTCAAGGAGGTTACCCACAGGTAACTATCTGGATAAGTATTTTCCGTTGCCTTGGGACATAAGTTCTCTGTGCTTGTATATAGACATACACTCAAATATTCTCCAGGCTGAACGCTGCCGGATTTCTGTTGGACATCCAGAAGAATTGACAAGTGACCCTGATATAATTGCAGCATTGAGGTAAGTCTTGTAATTTCCTACTTAGTAAATTTGCAAGCTCGCCAGCACCCATTTTTAGGTTTCTAGATCCCTTTCTAATATTTACCTAAACTTTCTCTTCTCAGCATTACAGGAAACTTTCAGTTTGAACCTTGTTCTCATGGAGACTTCCTTGGTGCAATCCTTGGTACAGGAATCACCAGAGAAAAACTTGGAGATATAATATTGCAGGTATTTCTTTTCTTCCATTTACTACATTATATTACAGAAGATTCTGTTTGAACTTGCTTTCAGTGAACAGAAAGAGGCTTCTAGTAACAGATATTTATTAATATTACTAGTCTGGATCTGTAAGATTTCTTATATCCAAACGAGGAATTGTAAAATCTTACGAGGAGCAGCAAAAGCTGGTTTCTAAACATCAGTATCTTCTTATGGCACATTTTGACATAAATTTATATTGTTTGTGTTATAAAACACTTGTATTTCCTGAGCCAATAATAAATGAAATTCATGCTGATGGAATAAACTTAAGCCAATAATAGCTAGCAGTCAATTGCGTTCCAAAATCTGTTACTATCGTTGATTTTATTGTGAATTTTCAGGATTTCTCACTTGGTCTTAATATCCATTTCATTTCAGCTTATTCACAAATAAAGCTTCCTTTTTTCTCATTCTTTCTTTCAGCGGCACCCATTAGGAAAATCATTCATAGAATGGATCTGAACAAATTCAATTAATTATGTCTTAAAAAAAATCAAATCTTTATCTGGAAACCGAATTCAGGAAGAAGGTTGACAAATTCCATACAAATAGGTGGTTATCTAGTAGTTGGCTGAAATTCAAGTGATGGCCTCAGCTTGGGATTATGTTCTCACATTCGCATGCATTCTGATTTCTGTGTGACTCTATCCATATCCAAAAGCAGTTCTTCAAACCCCCCCCCCCCAAAAAAAAATCCCCTTTCTCCCTTCCTTATAGTGCGCAGATGCACAGATTTCAGTGATTTAAATTTGGTTTTGCTACCCAGGGCGAACAGGGTGCTCAGATACTTATTGTTCCGGAACTTGTTGAATATGTCATATCATCGCTGGGTAAGGTAGTGTTGTTTTACTGTTGCTGTATGGTTTTTTTATTGCTTACTTTTCTCAGGAGACATCGATTACCAAAACAAAACAAAAAAGGTTTCTGTTATAAACATTAATAGCATATCATTATATTTCTAGGATATGAATATTAGATATATTATCCATGTTGTTCTGATTGCATCTCTCTTTTTAGGTTGGTAATGTTCCTGTATCTTGCAGCAAGATACCATTAATTTCTCTTGATTATGAACCACCCAGGTGCATCACTAGTTCTGGTTTCAACTTCTTTTTAATTTAATAACATTTTTGTAACAGACTACCAATTTCGTCTGCTGCGCAGAACCAAGTCATTTAAAACCATAGAAGCATCATTAAGAGTTGATGCGTTAGCAAGTGCCGGGTTCAACATTTCACGTTCAAAGCTAGTTGACTTGATCAGGTAGGCAATTGCTTACAAATTGTTTGTTGCACATGGTTAATTAGATTTTCTGCATAACAGGGTAAATCTCTATGAAAATTGCTCTGTTTATAGATAGAACCCGTCTAGCTGTAGCCACACTTTGATAAGATATATATCTACGGTTTGCCTATGAGCTTAAATTTCTCTGGTCGAGTGTTGAGATGTTTCTGGTATGCACATTTTTTGGGATGAACTTGTGCTATATTCATTGGATTTTCACCACAAATCCTATATATATATATATATATATATATTTTTTATGGTAAGGACCTAGATTTGTGTGATAACGATAGCGTACAACTCATGCTTGTAGCGATGGGGCTGTTCGTGTTAACTGGGTCCCTGTCTCTACCAAAGGAGCCACGCTCAAGAGTGGGGATATTGTATCTGTTAGTGGAAGGGGAAGATTAAAGGTATGATGCCGATATTTAAAGAAGGCAAATACCATCTGATCTAATCAAGCTTGATCTTACCCGTTTTTGAAGTGATGGAATGTGAATCTTCCGATAGTGTTTCTAGACAGTTGTTCCAATTGCCCCGCTTTATTTTGATGCAGATAGGAGAAATAAACTCAACAAAGAAAGGAAAGTTTGCAGTGGAGTTGATTCGATATTTGTAAAAGGTTTCTGCAGGAGCTCACTTTTAACTGAGATAATCCTTCCCGTGGAAGACATGGTCCCCTTGGAAAATAGTGGAAAGAAAGAACTTTAATCATTTGATGTGAAGATTGTGATTATGGATGAAAATGGGGTTAGTGGATCAAGTTGCAGAAGAGAGTCGGGAAACTCAGGGTGAGAGGAATTGGTCGTATAATGGAAATTATACGCGTTTATGAACATTTTTTTTATCACTCATGCTGACAGCATCTTTTCCTAAATTTATGCCATTTGCGTACAAACACACGTTTTGTGAATGTAAAAAAAAAAAAAAACTTAAAAGGAGTGCAAGAACGGAATTATATAACACAAATATATATATGTACACACACATACACACACGAGTAAACAAAATTAAGCACCTGGCAAAATCAAATCAATTGTAATGCCGTGAGATAGTTCAATTATTGAATCCAACCCATTTCTTCTTCCTCATACCTCTTCATCATGTAATTTTTGGAAAACTGCGGAAAAAAGTATTATCCAACAAAATCTTAAAACACATTGAGACATAACCCTCTACATCTCAAAACTGATTGTGTTGAAGCTTGGAAGTTTAGAAACATTAACCTTCCAATAAATAAATTTATAATTTTGTTAAATTTCAAGCATACCCACAAAAACCATTGTCACAAGAAACTCCAGCAGAACACTTCTTGTTACACTTGCCACAATGGCTTCCACCATTGAAGAGCACATTGGTGCAAATTCCATTGCAGCATCGCTCTCCTTGCTTACACTTATGACCACATTGTCCACAGTTGTTCTTGTCGCTAAGAACATTGCGACAATGCTTCTTACAGCAGAAAAGCAAGCCTGTCCCTTTGCTTGATGGTATCCCATTGCAGATATTGTGAGCGACACTGGAATTATCACAGCGTCTGCCTTTCTTTATAATTATCTTGCTGGCCAAGAACCTGCTTCGTGTTCTCAAGTGGGAAAACAATGGTGGGTCAACAACGTACTCTTCTTCTTCTTCATCCGTATCTTCTGTACCTGTTGAAAGGGCCATTTGGGGGTGAAGAGATAGAAGGACAATAAGGGTGGTCAGAATAATGGTGGTAAGCTTCATGAGGGTCTTGGCCATGGCTGGCTAAAGGTGTAAGCTTATTGTTTAGTTCGAGATGTGTAAGAAGGTTGAGATTTGGAAATTTAAACTCAAGTTTTTGTGATAAAATATTGCAGAATCTTAGGGGACGAAGGTGTGTTGCTTGGAAGATGCATGAGAATTATTCTATTTTGGCAGTGCTTCTTCCCTAATTATCGGCTTAGCATTACTGAGTTAAGCTTTAATTGATTAGAATAATTCTGCACAAAGTTGCATTCTAAGCTGATGAAAAAAAATTGTTTTCGCCGTTTCTTCTTAGATTTGGTACTCTGGCTCAAGGTGTTAGGCTGGTAATTAACTTCACAAATTATAATAAATTATCGTCCATTAAGGTTGGCTTGACTGAAATTTAAGGTGTTATATCAAATTACCTTAGTTAACTGCAGCTAACAATTCACAATCAAATCAATAATTTCTGGTAATCTCTGCGCATAAAAACTAAGATTTATTTATCCTGAAACATCACATTTTCATTGTTAGATTTACACAGTTAATAGCGTGGTTTTTTATATACTAAAAACAGAATAGTAAATGGAAATTTCATTTTAAAGTTTCAAAAGTCATGAGATTCATCTGCATGGAGTCACATATCATTTTGGACATCACAACAACTTATTTCTATCTCACCAAGAAAACCCATAGACACATGAACCTAGGCATAATTTTCTGGCTCAAAAACAGAATCTTTGGCAAAATTTATATTAACGGAATTTGACTACACCCAGAAACAAGAGCCACATACGGTGGTTTATCTTCAACAAGACCTCGTAATTTATCTTAGGATTACCTTAGATTCACAATTAGCTAGCTGTGGAACGGACAAAGAAAAGCTAAAAGAAACTCGAACAAAATGTGATGAGGCATGCATGTTAAGGCCAACATGTTGACCATGGAAATATAAAGGCAGGCACACATGCAGGGGATCTTGTTTATCGGCAAATATGTTGACTTTTGAAGCCAATGCTATATCCTTGCATACATATGGCTTGACTTTGTAAGTCTACTCTTCTGCCCAATTGCCCATTCCCTCTAATATTCTTCACTCCAAATCATTCAATAGCATACCCTTACAGTCCAAGCCACAAATATACATACACATATGTGTGTATATATATGTGTGTGGAATTTATTGCCTCCACTTCTTGACCTAGAAAGCCATGGCCAGCTCTAAAATGTACGTTGACCTTGTAGAGTAAATTAAGGTTCGTTGCATGTTGTTAGCAGTTAATTACACGCAGGTTTCTGATGCTGAATACGAAATAATTAGTCAATGCTAATTAATTAGATTAGATTGTCCGTGATCATTTCTGAACCTAGCTAGCTAATAGCTACATTTCAATCGCCTCATTCGACTTATATCTGCTTCTAGAAAGAAAGGGTTTTTGAATTTTCTAGATATGCACATATAATATTAGGCGACTTTTTAATAGTCAATTATTACGTGGACTACACTAAATAATATTAGTATTCCTCCGGTCCTTAATATAGGACCCAATTCTTAAGTTGGTTTTGGTCCTAAATATAAGACCCTTTCTCATATTTATCGATTTTCTCTAAATTACCCCTATGAATACTCCCTCAACTATAATCAAGTAAAAGAGGGAGAGGGAGTATTAAGAAAGACGATTATGGTATTTTAGAAAAAATATGTCACTTTTCTTATAATTAACTAACTTACCTAACTTCCTTAATCTAATCAAATTAGTTAAATGGGTCTTATATTAAAGAACGGAAGAGCATATGCTTATTATTTGCATGAATGATCCCGTTTTAGATACACAACTACCAACCATTAATAAGGCTCGATACCTACAAACTCGTAAAGTCGTGGACTTGGGCACAAATTTGGTCGAGACATATAGCTTCCACGCAAATAAACTGTAACTGATTATAATCAAATTCCGAAAAGCTATACCTAAATTCACATTTGAGCATGTGCATATATAACTATCATATGCAAATTTAATTTTCATAAATATGAAGAACCATTATTCATTTTCAACAAAATTCTGCATTGATGTTGGATATAACAAGAGGTTCTTTGAGAAGTAAAGTTTGACTGACTTACCAAGTTTCAAGTTTTTAACCTTCTTCTGGAAGCTAATTTCGTTATACAATTAAGAGCGCTTAATGTGAATATATGTCTTCTTATTGAGAAATAGAGTTTGACCTGTTAACCTACAGGCAGTTTGAGGCTGATAATGACGTAGCTAGCTAAAACAATTATATGAAATCACGTTTTTAGATTGAACATTTCCATATGCTCCTCAAGTTCTTAATGTAAAACCTATTTAACTAGTTTAATTAGATTAAAAAAGTTAAGTAAATTAGTTAATTACAAGAAATATGACATGTTTTTCTTAAAATACCATAATCATCTTTCCTAATATTCTTCCTCCTCCTATTTGATTATAGTTGAATGAGTATTTATAAAGGTAGTTTAGAAAAAACTGATAAATTTAATAAATAGATATAATATTTACGACTAAATTCAAATCAACGATTAGATTATATATATATATATATATTAAGGACCGGAAAAGCATTCCTTAAATGTCAATGTATTATGTAACTTCACTGAATTTTTTTTTTTAAAAAAAAACAGATGGCTTTGATGTATATCTTGTGAGAAGAAATTAAACTAATTTAATGGCCATATTGAATATGTTCGTGCGCGCGTAAATGTAATGTGGGGAAAGGTAAATTGAAATAATATATTCTGACGGTCCCCTCTACAACTTGTTCGTTTTAATTAATTTTCTCTTATATATATTTATTTACTTTGCACAGACCATTTTGTCCACTCATATGTACGTTTGCCAGAAAAGCAAGTTTGAAGGATGGCAATACAAAAATTAATGGATTAAGAATAAAATATATAAAATTTTCAAAGCTGCATGTGAAGGCAAGTAATAACAGAACCGTTTCAGTATTTCACACGCAACCCACATAACATTTATAGCAATTCAACGAAGTGTAACCTAAGAAAATTAGAATTCAATTCCTTCAATAACAGCAATACGTTCGAGTTGCGCAAGTCAATGATTAGTTTGGTCAAAAGATCAAACCATTAATTTGAATAAAGGATTCTTAAAATATCATAAGAATAAAACCGCATATAATATAACCAATGGAATATGACCTAGCATGCATCTGACTTTAATAGAGGGAAAGAAAACGAAAGGTTTGGCTTCCATAATCCAAGCTATATGTAGAACTGAGAGAATTAGGTACCGTATTTTAATTAAGTTGGATTAGTATGTAAAATTGGTAATACTCCTTAAATGAGCAAAAATATGAAAAGAAATATAGTTAAAAAGCGGGTCAAACTGGTAGCCACTATGTTTATATATTGTTTCTGAAAAAGAAAAACCCAGTTTGAATGTTTAGTGCGTGTCATGTCGTATGCATCAAAACCTTATTTTTAATTCTTCTTTAGGGTTGTCTTTCCTTTCTTTTATGTATGTGGAGGGATGAGAGAAGATCTTTAGGGCAAAGAGAGTCCTAATTAAGTGGGGAGTCCTTGGGGTCCTATATAATGATTAGATAGACTCAAGACTAATATTGGAGTGAAAGGAGGGAAGGAAATTGCAGGGAAAGTGTTTGAGCTACAAGGTGGTGGGGTTTCATATTAACGTCATAATTGAAAGCAATCATAATCGTTTTAGGCTGTGTGGGGCCATTAAGTTTGACTGAAACTAGTGTTTTCATTTGCTTTGCTTGACGGAAAGGGGAGAGGAGGTTTCAGAAGCAAAATAACATCATATGTATATATATTGTCCTTGAATCTTGTATCGCATTCTCATTAAATTCAATATAAAAAAGTTACTTTCTTCTTGTAACAGATACACTCGATCGAAGGGAAAAAAAATAAATTAGGTACAATAATTTCTTTGGTGTCTCTATCCCGAACCACATTTAGAATCATGGATCATAACTTCCAAGTATTTATTAGGCTATTTAAACGAGAGTGGATTTGAAGCGATGTGAAAAATATCATATTGGACAAAGTTAATTAGGATTAATAAATAATACATATGAAGGGGAAAGCCTCATATATATACAACTAATCTTTATGATTTTAAGTTGAGATGAATATGCGGTCATATAAAAAAAAGAACTTGAAATAATCATATGAAAAGTAGGGGTGATGCCTGCTGAAAAGAAAATGATAGAAAACCATTGAAGATGTACAAAGAAAGCCATTGAAGATACCAATACAAAAATTAGACCCGACGGTATGAAGTTTTTAAAAAGTAACAGAGGAAAATAGAAGAGAATGCTCAATAAAGTAATTGAATATGACTTTCTGATTAACAACTTATATAAAGTTTTGGTCATTGATAGAGTATAATCACATCATACAATTCACATAATTAATTAACCTCACCTAATAAAATAAAACTGATGGTTGTTATTACAGGGAGTCCTCCACCACTTATCGCCTATTTGTTCTCTCTTCAAGGTTTGCTCTCCTGTTCCCAACAGTATTAATATCAATGGAGAAATGTTTGAAAGGACAAAAATAGAGGTGTGTTTCCCCTCAAAACAATATGTCTGCAAATACAACCAAACTTCTCTTCACCCAGTAAGAAGCTTCGTTCATGCTTCTCTTTGTGTCATCCTTCCTAATTTCCCCAATCTTCATATCTGTCTGTCTACCACTTTGCGTACACAAAATCTAACCTACTATGTATATATCCTCTCCAGTCCAACTCCACTACAATCATATGGATATATCTATATATATAGTGATCGATCAGATCCCCCAGTATGCATATACCCACTATTTTCGGGCTAGGTTTGATTTTGCTGTGGCTGATACGATTTGAAGGTGACCATTTGCTTTGACCTTGTTCCCTCTGGTCTCTGGTATGTCGTCGTCCATTCATTCTGATCCACCCATCTCGTGCTAACTTCCTTTTTCTCTGCCTTACACTGACTTTAATTTAAAGACATGTACCCTCTAATTAATAACC